TTTAAGGGCATAGACTCTTACAGTGTCCCAAGTGCACTGTACTTCCTCAGACATATCATCTGAAGAATATATAATTCTCCACACGAGAACGATAAGTTGAACTCCACGTCATATTATTCAACGATGTATTTTTGTATTAATTACGAGCCACGATGATATAGAAGAATATACTGTTGTTTACAAAATCATGTGTAATCCATATTCTGCAGTGGTAAAATGCAAATTTTACAGATTAGTTTGGAGAATAATCTTGCTACTTTGAGTATTTGATTGTTGAGAAATAATATTATTTTTTAAAAAATAACTATAAATTTATTTGATTATTTTTTTATTATATTTTATTGGATTGTTATTTGGTTAGATTCAAAATTCTTCTGATAAAATCTTTTAACGACATCAAATTTTGGTGCAATAAAAAATTTAAGGTAATTATTTTCAATTTTTTTTCTTTTTTCCTGGTCTTTTTTTTTCTTTTTTCTTCTTTTTATTTTGTCATGTCGTTATCTTTTGTTTTGGTTTTTAATTTTATAACCTTTTCAATATATTCTCGATAACTATATAAAAAAAATGTTCCAATCCTATTCATATAATTTAAAATTTCTTGGAATTTCTCCTGTATTTTTTTTTTTTAAAAGAAGCTTTGTTAAACTTTTAATTTACTAAATAACTAACCTATATAAAGCTATTTTTATATTATTTTTTCTTAGTTCTCTATCATATTTTTTATTTATTAAATCCCCGTGTACATGCTGTAATATCTCACAAAAACATCTTACCCGAGAAAAATAAAAATAAAATTCAGAAAGTAGGTTATTCGGGGGTACAACATCGGAATTTTGAGAACTAGATATTAACATTGGGAAATCTTAAACTGCACAATAGAAATGAAATTTACCCTAAAATCGTTTTTCTATGAAGTGGATAAATAAAAGCATTGGAGTAACCTATCTATAGTCAGGAATAACATGCAGGCTGTGGTTAACTGGCCCAGCTGATTTACTTAATAGATTCTGTTCGGCAGCACCTGCTCTCGTCTTTATAGCTCCTACTTGTTTCCTGACCTCTTGTTTGAAACTTGTTACTTGTATATGTCTCTACTTGCTCGTGCTAGGATCGGATTTAGTAAAAAAAAACGGTGGGGAACTAATGTAAAGCTAAGTTCACAGGAGCTGAAATTAATGAGAGAGTCGGGACAAAACAAGCAATGGACCAGCCAAGTGAGTAAATGTAAGAAAAACAAAACATTGAAATATGTTGTAGGGTGTTTTGTTGGGGGGGCGGCTCGAGAAGAAGACACTCGAGATCTAAACATTTTAGACTAGTGTTCTTTGCAATTCCACGCCTTTGTCCCACTTGATAGGTGCCATGAACATTGCTATTCCCAAACAAATCATGGAGACTTTTGTCCCGATTCTTTTTCTAGAAACAGTACATCACGAGGATTCAATACTCACCGGCTAGCTAGGAAAAGGGAAATTACCATGAATTTCAAAGACCAATTCTGTGTAAATGCAAGCTAAGATAGAGAGCAGGGATAGTCAAGTACAGGAAGGTGTTTTGGTTTGGTGGGTGTGCACTGACCTTCGTCTATTTTACTGAACAAGGATACAAGTTAAGACCTAGATAACCGTACAATTAAAAACCATTTTAGGCTGAATCTCACATAATTTGTACGAATGAAATAATAATAAATCGGGTTCATACAATCATTTCTCAGGTTGAGATATAAATCATACTTTATATGTGAAACCATAAGATGTTACTGGGATCGAGATCCAATATCCATGACCATGAGCATTATTAATATATATTAATATGCTGTGTGAAGATTTCTTGGAGGTGAAAACGTGATTCATGTTCCATGATAGAAAATAGAACAAATAACGTGGAATAACACCAAACATGGAAGAAACAGTGCTCCTCGTATCCTGTCCTATCTCAAGCTTGTAAAGAGAAAGTGCTACTGGTGCATCTCGGGTCACTCACTCGAATCTGGCCCAGAAAAAGAAAATTCAATTGGAAAGGATTCGCAAAAAACATTTCTTTCACTACACGCGACTTCGGAGCCCAGATGTGGGGTAAGTGGGCAACGGTAATGGTAAATGGCCCATGAAAAAACAGAAGTGGATAATCCAACTCTTTCTCTCAATTATTGCCGATAAATGCAGCCCAGAAGGGAGCCCATATGCATTTTTCACACCCCAATAGAATGCAAGTTATAATAATCATATTAAGTATTTTGTTTGCACTTTTTTTTATATTGAAAAAAAAAAGAGAGGCTGAACTTAGGATGAATTTAAGGGTGTATATTGTAGGAGATTTTGATTTTGAGTCCTGGGAATCATTATAATTTGAATAATCACTCCTAAAACTTTTAAAACAAATTTCTTTGCAAGAAAAAAAGGCATTGTTTACGTGTATGTTAATTTTTTTATATCATAAATAATTTTGTAAACTTAATTGAAGGTTACATGTATTAAAAAATCAATTCAATATAAAAACTTAAACTATTAGGTAAAATTTTAATATATAATTTATATTATTTTTTAACACACCCCTTAAGTAAAAACCCTTTAGATTTAAAACTTATATGAACTCACATTAACTTATATTTGATTTTTATCAAATAAATAGGAGTGGTGAGATTCAAACTTGTGATCACTTGGTCATCAAGACTCTGATACAATGTTAAAGAACCATCTCAACTCAGTAACTTAAGCTTTTGGGTTGAAATAGTTATTTGACGATCTCAACCTAATAGCTCAGGCTATTAGATAAAGTTTGAAGATATAATTTATGTTATTTTTTAAAATATTTTCTTAAAACCTTTTGAGTTTGAAACTTGCACAAATCCACACTACATTGTATTTAATTTTTATCACATAAATAGGAATGATGAAATGCTTGATCGTTTGGTCATTAAAATTTTGATACTATATCAAAAAACCATCTCAACCTAATAGCTTAAGCTATTGGGTAAGGTCTTATGATATAATTTGTATTATTCTCTATGTCAAAGAATCAATTTAATGTAAAAGCTTAAGCTATTAGATAAGGTCCTATAATATAATTTATATTATTATCTAACAACATGATTATTTTTAAGAGCCAAAACTATTAAGAAAACTTGTTAATTTAAGATTTTTAGTCAATTATACACTTTTACCTGGGTTGAAAAATAAAAACAATAAAATTTAAATTAAAAATATTATTTTATAATTAACCATTTACTACTTGGTTATTATTTATTGAACTATCAGCTTATTTGCTATGTGGTTATTGATATCACACTTGTAAGGAAGCATAACTATCAAATCTAACTTATTTAATAAAATCTAACTTGTTTAATAAGTTGATTTAAAAAATTCAAAATTTAAAGTCTAATATGATGTTTATGAATTGATAATAATTTAACTTTTTTTTACATCAATACCTAGACCGAGTCTGATTAGTATGCAAGGGAATGACTATGAACAGATTTGAATTCAAATATTTGTAAGTTTTATATTGAGTTAGACAATGGGCATAGGCTTATCTGATGGAGGATTAATTATTTCTTTATTTTCAAATCAAAGAAAGTCTTAATCACCTCTCAAATTTCTTAGGCATTGATGATCTAAAAATGAGAACACTTACTAGTTGATTGACAGACGGGTCAAGCTGATTGATTAGACACGAAAGCCAGAAAAGAATCTAATGCACGCACAACTCATGCTTTTTAACCATTTACTAATTCTAAACGTGGCCCAGATTGAATCTTACTTTAAACTAGAATTTCTATATTAAAATAATACTGTATTTGTTTTTTTTAAAGAAAAAAATTAAGTTTAATTAACATGTCAACTGGGTCATCACTCTAAAACCGAAGCCTCGAGGCAAGTGGAAATCGACTAGGTCCTAATTATAAATATATCAAAAGGTATCTGTCAATATAAAATATTGCATAAACAGGAGAGGGAGGCATTGTGATGTGATTAGGAAACTTGTATCGATCCCTAGGATTCAAAGTTACTCCCTTTTTTAACAAATCAAAGCTTCAATTCATTGCATTTCCCAATTGCCAATGTGATTTCGCTAAAGTGCAATTCCACGTAATTGCAGAGTCACGAACTCGGTCGTCGTTCCCATCCATCTTTGAAAGTCGATGACCATCTGAACAAATTCAATGGCTTCTCCCCATGTTGATTAGGAAGATTTTGCACATATTCCCATTTCTTCTAATTAAGCTTAGGACGGAATTTGACATCCAGGCCACGATGACGACCATTGATTATTCAATTTTAAAAATTATTCAATTTTAAAACTAGACCAAGCTAATTAATTACAAATCACGTGGATGATTGATTTTTAATCATCTTTCACCTGTTCTTATTCCAAGACAGGAAGCCGTGCTAGCTGTCTTCGTTTTACAAAATGCAAGGGAAACGACAGCTTAGTCATCTACTATACACATGATTTCAATTAAACTCTTCAAATATAAAATTTAGCAATATTACCCTAAATAAAACTATATATTTTAATCAATATTGTACCAATCAAAAGAGATTAATATATATATATATATATATATGTATATTTCGTGTGATCTCTTACTAATCATGAACACAGTCGCAAGTGATAGAAAAAGAAATATAGAACTTAGTTATTCCGGTCGTTTTTCAACAAAATATCGTTTTTTTTTTAATTTTATTTTTTAGCATAAAATGTTTTTATTTGTTGCAACTTGATATTCTGAAGAATTTGGAATAACAGATTTGAAGTGATGTTGGGCATGTGAGAAAAAATACACAAGTTTTATGAATTTTGGTAGTAAATTCTTTTGATCGCTGTAGATTAATATGGGACACAATTGAGTTATGTGCGGTAGTTTAGGGTAACTTTGACTAATCTCGAACTCTAAGAACTTAATTGAAACAGAGTATTTAGTTGAGGGACGGAATCTTAGTTACTTCACTATATAAACATAGAAACCTTTAGCTAATTCTGCATCAGACATTGAGATATCAATTCATCATTTCTTCTTTGCTTCCAAGCCATGGCCACTTGCAATGACGAGCATTTCTGTCAAGATAAGTTCTTGCTCGATCCAAAGGAAGCTAGTTTGAAGGAACTCGTTCTTCTCTTATTCTGCTCTGATGTAAAAAGTAGAAAATTCGTTGACTGCTCCGAAGAGAACCGGCTGAGAGATATTAATCGACGATGGCTAATTTTCATCTCGATTCTTGTGCAAAAAATCCTTCTTTCTTGCAGGGAAACCATGGCTCAAACAGGGCATATTTTAGAGTACTGTTTAAATCTTATCTCAAACAACGGTGGCCCTTTCAAGCTCCTGTTGAATTTTTTGAAGGGTATGTGCAGCTCCCATGAATTTTTATTTTTTCTTGGCATAAAATAAGGGAAGAATTAGAGCATAAATCAGTTTAATTGTGAATTGAAAAAAGGTTTTTGGTCACCTTTTGATCGAATCTATATATGTCCATGCATGAGTGCATGCAGTTACAATCAACCCTTTAATGCAGAATATGGGGTTCTAATAGCTAATTAAGAATGGATTGTACTTATGCAGGCAAGGTTGTGAGGCCGGATGAATCATCAGCGACGTTCAGATCTACGGTAGGACATTCTGACTGGAGAATAGAGCTAGACAAGAGTAGCAGACCCGGGGAAATAAAATATAACACTTCCTTGTCTTTGATGGCCGCCAAATTGTCATACGAAAACAAAGCTTTCATCGAAACCATCGTCAAAGATCATTGGAACGTAAGTACCAGCACTAAAACCACAGGATCAGACCTTTTGTTTTTGGTTACAACATGGATCGAGTTACAGAAAACCTAACTGTCTAGCTAGAACCCAAAAGTTGTTCCATTTTTTTGATTAATTTGTGCTTTTTTAAAAAAAAAACAATTTATGTGCTCAAACTTGGTACTTTTAATGGAGGCATATCCCTTAATTACAGTACAATATGTAGAATTAGTTCTGATCATATATACTAGCTAGCCGTGAAAAAAAAAAAAAAGAGCAGCTCCAGAGATTAATGAAAATGTTTCACTGATATCCCATGAGATGTAACGATGGTTGTTTTTCGTTTTCTTTTCACTTTTCTGCAGATGGAGTTCTTGGGTTCCTACGACTACTGGAACGGTAAGAAGCAAGGCTTATACTTTCAATCATAGCTACTCAGCCCGCCCAGGCTAGTCGGTTGATATGATATATAATTTAATTATTTGGAGTAGAGTACAAGTCAGTTTATTTTCAATTTGTGGTTAACCTAATTAATTAATTAATCATGTGCTCATCCACTTGATGATTAAATGTAATCCACTTGATTAATCTAATTAAATTTTTATTAAATTCTTGGATTTGAATTAATTTTATAAAAAATTTAATTTTTTTTATTTAAGTTACTATATATTTTACTTAAACTCGAACTTGGATTGAATCAAACTTCATCCTAGACTAGATAAGTATGTTTTCAATTAAAAAATTAGAGGTTATCATTTCTCGGAAAAAACACTATATGATAATGTTGTCACAATTGATACGGAGGTCCGTATGATCTAAGAATTAATATCAAATTTAACACCATCTCTTTGAAATAACTCTCAGCTAAGTCAATTCACGTCGAAGAAACTTTCCATTTCAAGTTAGGAATTTTAGCAAGACATTTCAAGGATGAGAAAAAACATAAACGTGGATAAGATGTTAAAGTTTTAAAACGATGGTCTTGTTTTGAATACAGACGAGCAAGATTCAGAATTGAAGCGTTGTTCGTAGAAAGAGAATAGAGACACAAAGAAAAGTAAACATGTTGTAAAATCCGAAGCTCTCTTGAACTTTAAGCAACATGAGGTCAAGGTATTCTAAGAACAAAAACATTAGGTCAAGGTGATGTAGGCTGCGAGATACACGAGGAAATTAGTTGACTGGTGCACTCCATTCTTTCTTCTTCTTCTTCTTCTTGCATCGTTAAAAAAACACTCCATCGCGTAGGAGAGCACGAGAGATCAAACTAGTTTATTTTATTAAAAGTGGCCCTTTTAAAATTTAATGGTAGATTGCAATTTAGTTATTTTAATAATTTTTATAGAAAAAAAATCATAAATCCCCCTCCCCACCGGGCTGGAGTTGCTTGTAAATTCTCTAAGCTACCCTTTTCAAATGCATTTTTGGTTTTCTTTATGCTTGGTGAGACTTTGACTAAAAATAAAGGATAAATTGTCAAGAAAACTAATGAAAGGACTGAAGCGTTTGCTAGGAATATAGTTGTGCATATATTTGATATTTAATTTGATGTATAGTATTTTTTAAAAATATTTTTATATGAAAATATATTAAAATAATATTTTTTATTTTTAACATAAACATATTAAAATACTAAATGTTAACATAAAAATATTAAAATACTAAAACAATTATTAATTTAATATTTTTTTAAAACCACAATCACACACGCAAAATAAAAACATATTTGTCTGAACATCTGATTTGAATGCCGCACAGGGTACCAGGAAAGGGCCTCAACGCAAGCATTAATGTTCCAAGATAAGAAGGTTGACCCAACCTTAATTGTGGTGGCTTTCAGAGGGACCAACCCATTTGATGCAGATGACTGGACCACAGATGTGGATCTCTCGTGGTATGACCTTCAAGGCATTGGTAAGCTCCACCGTGGCTTCATGAAAGCCCTAGGCCTACAAGAGAATGGCTGGCCCAAAGAAATTGAACAAGGCAGTGGCCATTTTTATGCATACTACGAAATTAGACAAATGCTGAGGGACATATTGCGCAAGAATGAGAAGGCAAAATTTATATTAACAGGGCATAGCTTGGGTGGGGCTTTGGCTATACTGTTCATGGGAGTGTTAGCATTACACCAGGAGGCTTGGTTGCTTGAGAGATTGGAAGGGGTTTACACCTTCGGGCAGCCCAGAGTAGGAGATGGACAATTTGGGGAATTTATGGTAGATAAGTTGAAAAGGTATGAAGTAAGGTACCTGAGGCATGTCTACAGTAATGACATGGTGCCTAGATTGCCCTATGATGACAATCTTCTTTTATTCAAGCATTTCGGTCCCTGCATCTACTTCAATAGCTTCTATAAACGAAAGGTCAGTGCTCTCTCGCCCTCTTGCTTTGCTTGTAAATTCCAACCAGATGACTCTTTTCTTGACTCGATTATGTATCAGCAGAACTCAGTATTCAGTAAGATTGTTGATAAGTCACTAACACAGCCATGAATGATAATTGTGATCGGGACGCAGGTTATGGAAGAAGAGCCGAACAAGAACTACTTCTCTTTGTTGTTGATACTCCCCAAGTACCTCAATGCTGTCTGGGAGCTTATCAGAAGTTTTATAATCCCTTACCTCCAGGGCCAGGACTACAGAGAGAGTTGGTTTATGAGACTGCTAAGGATTGCAGGATTGATAGTTCCAGGAATACCAGAACATATTCTTCAAGATTATGATAATTCTACCCGGTTGGGATCCCTTCAACTCAAGGATTCTCAGCAAGAACTTCACCAAGAGTAAGAACCGTTAAAATGACAACACCAGCCGTAAATAATAACTGACCAAGTCAGCTTTGATTATCGGTTCCTTTGCAGTTTATCTGTTCTTCAATGTTGCTTTCTTATTTCTCATTTCTTAAAATAATAAATCTCTTATTAACATGGTTTTCCTAAAATAATAATAAAATAATATAGTTTAGAATATAATTAGTGAAATAATATAGTTTGTACATGCAAGCGACATTTAACTTTGCCATTTTTCATTGATGCAACATTTTAAATAAATAGTGACTACACAAATCACAATGTAAAAAATAAGAGAGAATAAAAAATAAAAATTTAAAAATATATTATTTAAAATTTTTTGATAAAATATATCTGATAATACTAAAAAAATCATTAACAATAATTTAATCGGACTATATTTATCATTTAAATAATACAAATAATTTATTTATTTTTGACAACAAATATACTCCATTCCAATCATTATTAGTGATTTTTATTAATATTATTAAATTTATTTTATTTAGATTTTTTTATAAAACTAGTGATCTTGTAATCAGAACATTAGTATATATATAAGATTTTCCTTTTCCTTTCTCTATCATCTCTTTTCATCATATTTTATGCATCTTATTTCATGATTTTTTTTTTAACATAATGTTTTTCTACAACAACAAAGTTGAATGTAGTATTTTTCAATTGTTACATATAAAAATTATATTGTTTTATCAATTTCTTTCTAAATTATATTATTTAATAATTTATTAAAAAAAATATACTAATTTTCAAAAAAATAAAAATCCTCATTTTATCAACATGCTATAATAAACTCTTGAACAAAACCTTGACCAGGACAATAACCCCACCTCATCGGCAACATTGTCTGCCACATTCATCACCACCTACCCACCAATGCAATCAATTGTGAACATGATAATAGTAATCAATGCAACCTATATATATATCATCTTATAATTATTGACAACAGGAAAAACAATAATTATTACTATCACGATAAATATCATAATGATCATCATTATTATCAATGAGAAAAGATTTCCCTTCATTTATTAGCGTGAAACGACAACAAGAATAAGGTTAAATTAAGGAATTCCAATCACTCAATTTATAAATAGTGCGAATTTGGAGGAACATATTTTATCATAAACCAAAAGGTTCAGAAAACAAAACTCAAATTAAAAAAAAAGGCGTAAATAAACAAAATAATAATAATGATAATAATACCGAGGCGGCCTTCTTCAATCTTGTTCCGGAACCAAATCATCTTAATTAAGAACAAAAAACAAAAGCGTTTAAGGGATACATGCTACAGCGGCTGTATACAACTAGTGGGTGTCTGAGAATATTTTCAGATTATTTTTTAAAATAATTTGTTATTTAAAAATTATTAGAATAATTTTTTTTTATATATAAAATTTTTATGTGAGTATATCAAAATTATTAAAAAATATTAATTTAGATTTTATTTTATTTATATATTTTTGTATTATTTTGATATACTAGTATTAAAAATAAGTAATAAAAAATATTTTTAAATAAAAAAAATAATTTTACAAACAATCATTTACGCGTTACAAACACTACCTTAATCTTTTCTCTCCCAAAAAATCACTTCTAAAAATCTTCCAGAAATAAAAGTAAAAGCTGTGTCAAGCATACCCTGAATAAATAATCGAGGACACGAATCACAAACTTCTAACTCTTTCAAGCAAACCGTCAAACACCATATGCAAAAAGAAAGTCGGAGTTGCCTCTGAGCATTTGCGATCCATGCCATTTAAGCCGACAAGCTCTTGTTCATGATAATACCAAGGGTATAGAAGCCACCTACAAGATCGAGTCTTCACTTAATTTCTTTAAGAACACCAACCCATGAGTGCAGGGTTCGAAGACAATAGACTCGATTTCCAAAAATTCTAGAGAAGACTTCACACCCATTAATATCAGCACTCTTTCCAGCCTAAAGGAATGACCAAAAGATGTAGAACAACACCCAAAATAAGTTCTGAAACTATAAAAAAAAAAGTGAGCATCAAACTAAATTCTAAAATCAACGCTTAATCACATCCTTGACTTGTCATTAGTTTAAAACAAATACAAATAATTTCTTAACATCACTTGTAGTAAGTTTAGAATTGCCCAAATCTTCATTCTTTGAAATTTTTAATGATTTATTAATTGAATTGGTTCAAATAATTCTGAGTGAACTGGGTTTTTCAAAATAGTGTTCATCCATAGTAATGTTCGTCATGTGAGGCCATTGTGAAGGAGAATGGCATTGGATCTAATGTGGCATTGGAGGCGGGCGGAAACACTTCGACAATGGGGTGGTTGAGTATTTACGAAGGTGCTTGGAATTTCTTTTTATTAGCTGGTAAATACCCTCTCTGTCCCACGGCCCATCGCCGGTGGACTTGCTAGGCAGATAATAATGATATTAAGACAAAACTACATCTTCAGAAAACACAGCTCCACGTGCTCACCCATTTCTGTCATGGTCATGATATTCAATTACAAATCGACATGGGACTACAACCAAATTAATCTAATTTTTTCTTTTAAAAAAATTAATGAATTTTTTAATCTGATTTTCATCGGGTCGCGTATTAATTCAGGTTTTTTTTATTGATTCTTATTAAGTCAGCTTTCTATGTGGAGTTAGAAAATGCCCTACGTTTATGAGATGAGATGACAAAATATTCTATATATTTCCATATTTCTTTCAATTAAGTATCTTTATTTATTTTCATTCAAGTCTATATATCTCAATTATTTTATATTAATTACTAGTTTACTTGTAGTTGTTATCCTACCAGTCAAATTAAAAAATTTGAATGTAATTTGCTATTTTTAATAAATCCAGCCTAGCAAATCAATTTAAAAATCTTTTTATCTGATTTCTTACTTAGCTAATAGTAAAGCTGAATATTAATTCTTAGTGGAGAAGAAGTAATATCCATTATTAAATAAATGTTGACATGTATAATAAATAAACAAAAGAATAATGCCAAAAAAATAAAAAAATAGGGGAATGAAAAAAAATGAGGGAATTGAAAAAAAAAAAGAGTTTCACTTTTTATAATATTAATAGTAAAGCTGAATATTAATTCTCAGTGGAGAAGAAGTAATATGCTTTATTAAATAAATTTTGACATGTATAATAAGTAAACACATCTCATCGTCATCATTATCGTGTAACCTATTATTCACAATAAAAATAACAACAAATAAACACATCTCATCATCATCATTATCGTGTAACCTATTATTCACAATAAAAAAAAAGCTGTCTTCTCATGTGTAGAGAAAAAGAAGAAAGGTATGAGAGTACAAAAGAAGTTGTATGAAGAAAAAAAAGATACAAAGTTTTGAGAGCATAGAAGAATAATGCCAAAAATTATTTTAAAAAAAACGTGGACCAAATGAAAATTGCAATTTTCTATATATAAGAAAAAGATAAAACTTTTTAATTATGATTGTGATGAATAGGAACCTTTTAAAAAAAACCTAGACTGAAAAACCAAAAAATAATTAATCGAGAAAATAATCCAAATCAACCAATGAAAAATTCATAGAAACAATTCAATTTGATAAGGTGTTAATTTCAAAATTTTAAAAATAATTGAACTGGTGAATGTTTCAATTTTAAACCCTAAAGCAAATCAGATATAAAAGGTCAATTTTCTCTGAACCCTATTCTTTTAATTTCCTTTCCTCCCACAATCACCCTTCCTGCCTCTACAGTCTACCTACTCTGCTCACCTCCCTCTCGAGCTCTCTCGCAACCCTCTCTTTCCTTCTCTCTTTATCTTCGGTCTTTTATTTTGATGGGAAAACGTTGAATGCTCTTTAGGTCTCTGGTCTTCTTCACCGTCCCGAAACCCTCCCATGGTGTTTGCTTGCTTGTCTGGTGCATGGCCATGTGCACACACAGACTACACGAACACGAGGACTTTATTAGATTCCGCTATGCCCGACTGACTTTCTACTTTCCTTCCTTCACACATAGCCCATTGCTTTTCTTTTATCATATTCACATTATCGTTTCGTAGATTCTTCCTGACTTAAGCTTTCGAAAAGAAAAGTTGACAATGTTCATTCATGCACTAAATTTTCTTTTTACTTTTTAGACGGTGTTTGACAGAAAATACTTTCAATTTTTATATTTTTATATTTTAAATTAATATATTTTTTATATTTTCAAATTATTTTGATATTTTGAAGTCAAAAATAATTTTTTAAAAATAAAAAAAATATTATTTTAATATAATTTAAAATAAAAAATATTTTAAAAAACATATTCCCCAACACCCTTTGCATTGTATCCCGAACTCCTATTGAGATGATCTCCTTTTCTCTTTCATGGGAATGAAGTGAAATTAGGTTTGATGGTTATAATCGTTCCATTTCATTAATTTTTTCTTCAGTGAAAAGTGAGCTTCTTTTGGTTAGATAGTTTTTTTTTTTTTGGCTATTTTGATTTGCAGGCTTTTATTTTTTTTTCTTGGATTATCCTGACAATTAATATTAAATTATTTCTTTGCTTTTGCGGGGCTCATCCAAGTATCTGATTTTCTAGTTTTTCATGCTAAAAATTGGATTTTGATCAAATTAAATCAATTTAGTTTAAAATAATTTTTTGGTTTAATCTACATTATTTTTTAAAAAGATTTATTATTTCGGGTTTGATTGTTTTTTTTTATCTAAAGTGTACCGTGAACACAATGAAAAGTGATTTTTCTAATAACATTTAATTTTATCATAAATTATTATAAAAAATTCACTGGAATCTGTTGGAAACGATCATTCAAGATGAGATTTTTTATTTACACATCACTTGCACATGCAATTGAACTATAATACCATTATAAATTAATGAAAAACGAGGCGTGCTATGAATTATATTTTATTGATAATAGATCGCTCCCATTCAAGCTGCAAAATAAAGTGTGAATATATTGTAAACCATCACAGTTCAGTAAAAAGACATCACACGAGTTATTGAACTGATCATGAATGTCGAGTTGTGTCTAAAACTAATTAAATAAATTAATTAGTTTTTATGTACTAGTCAACGTTATTTTTTATT